TTTCCCTGCTTGCTGCTGCGGGCGAGCTGTCGGTTTTGCGCGGGGCGGTGAAAGCCGCTCTCCTGCCTTTTCTCCCCAGGAAAACTGAGCGTGGGTGCCGAGGCCGTCCAGCACGGGGTGGAGGGACTCGCCTACCTTCTTACCGAGAGCTCCAAGCTGATGGTGAGGACACCTTCGTGTGGCGAAGTCAGGGATACGCTCAAGAAACGTCTTCTAAACACTTAAAGCTCTGAAAATACTGGGGATGGGGAAACAACTTCTCATGATGTGTATTCTTTTAATTTAAAGAAAGGAGTCAGGGGGCTGGTTAGCTCAGTTGTTTGAGTGTGGCGCTGACAACGCCAAGGCCACGAGTTCAATCCCTGCTCGGTCCCCATGTGTTGCCTGATCTAGTTGAGGTGTCCCTGCCCACGACAGGGAGGTTGGATTAAATGATCTCTGAGGTCCCTTCCAACATAGGCAATTCCATGAGCGTCTCGTGCTGTTCCCTTTACTGAAACGCTGCATCTGCATGAATGGCTGGAATTTGTACTGGATATCTGAAGCGAAAACTTGGCAAAGTTTTTGTAGTGTATGACAAGAATATGCAGTAATTGAGGATTAAGTTCTGTCCAAATAAGAAAAACTGAGTGAGGGTTTTGTGGTTAAGCCGCTGTCCAGAGTGTGTGCTCTGTGAAACCACCGTATTCCTCACGTTTGTCTAATACGATAGTTTTGAGAGCTTTTTTTGCTCCTCCCATCAGAAATTTGGGTGGGTGTAAGCAGAGAATAATAGAATAATAGTTGGATGAAAGAATAATAGTTGGATAATTGCTGTTTCCGTTGGAAAGACTTTTTACTATTGTTGTAGTTGAATATTTGAACGGGGAGACATTGAACTCAAGGAGGCGTTGTTGTGAGCCTTGGAGTCGTCCCTGGTGCTGGCTCACGTGTGCAGACGCTCACAGCGGAAGTTCAAGTATCAGCACTGTGTTAACACGCAGTTGATAAACTGATGATCGAAGGACAAACTTCCTCGTGACAAAGCTCTCGGGCTTTTCCGTGGTGTGCTTTGTTCTTTAATTTGAAGGCTTGACTGTGAGGGTGTTGAATGTTTTTCTTTTGAAAAGAACTGATCTAAAAATGTTCCTGAAGCTCCTGCAAATCAACACGTGTAAATGGGTTAAACCTGGATGATTTTTTTTGACCCAGATGTAGAATTTTCCTCGCACGTTCCTGCAGGAAAATAACTGCACCATACCATACGTTTACTCACAATTTTATTGTTCATCATCAAATAACGGTTATTACACAGTTCCGTATTGAGGCCCAAATTGTTGTGTCTAGATTTCTGAGATAGACTTCCAAGATTCCATTCACGTTCTGGGATTCTCAGATGAACTGAACAAATTGTTGCTCCAGCTGTACCTTGAGAACAGGAAAGAGATCAGGAGCATTCTTAGTGAGCTGGCACCAAAGCTTCCCAGCTACCACAGTCTGGAATGGAGACTGGATGTGCAGGTAAATTCTGTGACGTTTGCAGTATTCTCTGCTTTGCTTTACTTTTTTTTTGACATCATAACTACTAAACAATGAATAATTTGCAATTTTATGTGTATTTAAAAATGACATAATTTTGGTTTTGCACCAACAGTAGCTAGTTATGAGGTAAACGGGCTATGTAAGTATGTCACTTTCATAAAGTTGAATTCTTAGCTCCATCACTGTTTTAAAAGTGTTAGGATAAGCTAAATATATTCAGTCTTAATTAGCACCTCATTTTCAGAAATATCACAAGCGTTGCTTAAAGTGGATTAGTGTTGCCTAATGGTAAAGCTAAATAATAGATTGTGTGTGGCTGAAAAGGATTTTTAGCGTCCTCCAAGCAGGTCCTGCAAACCTGTATGTGAATTTGAAGTGTGAAAGTTGATAACCATCATTTTTGTTTGTTTTCCTGTTCCCATTTCATCTGAACTCCCTCATGCAGCTTGCAAGCAGAAGCTTGAGACAACAGATTGAGCCTGCCGTGACTATAAAGCTGCATCTCACTCAGGATGAGGATCAGACTGCCCAAGTGTTGCAAACCGACCCCTCCACCCTCCTCCACCTCATTCAGCAGCTGGAACAAGCGCTGGGGGAGATGAAAACAAACCACTGCAGGAGAATCGTGCGCAACATGAAATAGTGCTGGGTGGAGGCTGTTGTCTTAGAAAGCAGTTTGTGAAACAACTGAAACCAACATTCACAAATACAGTTTGAGGAAAAATAAACATCTGGATCAGATGAAGTGCTCTCCTGTGCCAGGATCTTGAGCCAGTAACTATAGGCTGAGTGTCCTCTGGTGCTACCTTTACGCACCTGCCTGGTAGGAGATGGGTAATTGGTTTTGCTTTACTTGCAAATGCAGAAATTCAGCCCATTACGCTGAGAATTTCTTTAGCTCTAAATTAGTATAGTTCTGCTTGAAGAGCTTTCCCACGTAAAGTAAAGCTGTCTCGATGTTATGTGAAGCTGCACGTTTATTTTTATGTTTATAGAGTAGGTTTTCTCCTTGGTTTTGTTTCTGGTTTGAAGGGGTTTTTTTAATAAAACCCTATACTGGTGGGAATGATACTTTACTGGAATGTTTTTCCCTTCTAATCTCATGTATGTATAAGAGTGCATGTGGGAGAACTCCCAGAGGAGTCAGTCAGCTCAGAGGCTGGGTGCTAAACTGCTTTTTGGCCCTTCTCATATAACAAAAGAAAATATAATCAAGCTAATGCTCCCATTTTAACAAAGGTAGCTACAGCTCCCACAGGGCAGTCACGTACTTTCTGCAAGGAGCATTACTGTGGAAAACCCAGTGGCCTAAACGTAAGTCAGCATGTTGCTGGTATGTAAATTTGATCTGAGAAAGTAAAACCAGGGGCCAGGAGGCAGATTAAGAACCTTAATTACCTAATTAAGAACCTTAAGAACCTAATTACCTTCTGCTGAATCTCATGTTCCTCTTTGGACAAGGTGCTTATAAAGGAAGGGCTGGCTTATTGTTGCTACGACATAAATTGCTTTTCTGATTTTAAGAAAAATGTCTAACAAAGTTAGGTCAAAAGTCCCTTTTCAGTTGTGTTCTAATGCCGTATTTTGTAGCTTTTGTGACTAAGGTTCAATAGCTTCACTAATTAATGTTTTACTGTCACTAGTGAGGGTGCATCCTAAAGCCCTTCCAGTGTATTGGAGAGGACAGAGAGACAGGAGAGAATCTTAACATACAGATTCTGGCAATAGCTGTGTATTTACTGTCTTTTATAGCAATGCCATAAATTCCTGTATTAAGTGGATTCCATCTCTTTCACGCTATTTTTTATTTTTATACCTTTGAGAGATGCTATTTCAAATGAAACCCACATGGCACGAGCACTTCAATCAATTGCACTTATTACCACTTCGGAAAAGTCAGTTTTCTAGAATATGGAATTGTTTATTCTCTACTTGCTTTATATAGCCTGGACATGTGTGAACAAACTTCGTTTCCTCTCCCTTGTATTAATCAGCATCGTGTTTCATTTACCATCCATATGTGGTGACTTTTGTCATAGAATCATAGAATTTTTGTCACATATACTATGTGGTAATTAAATGGGATCAAATGTTACTACTTGGTGTTTATGGTCAGTATTTTTTAATGTAATTGGCCTACATTTTCAGGTGAAATACACGGACAGCCTGTATGGTAGGCTAGAGTTGTGGGGTTTTTGTTCTGTCTTCATAAATAGCCATAGCCAGGGTCTCCTCGCAACAAAATACAAGTTCTAGATGCAAGTCCTAGAAGCTTTTTGTGTCCCATCTCACTACTGCCCTATGAATCTGAACGTATTTACCTTTCCTGGCTCTTAAACTTCCAAAAAAAAAAAAATAATAAAAAGAGCTGCTGTAGATCTAGTTGGCATCATGGTAAGTGCTGGCAGTTTATGTGTGGGTCATGTCCTGAAGCACCTGCTTCAGGGGGAAGAAGGGGAGGGTTTGCCTCGGTGATCATGAGTAAAATGGACAGTTCTAAGCGGACTGAATGCCGTTAGAAATCAGAATGCCACTGGAAAGCCTGCATATTCCCTTTTCTGAAGTTTATTACCATAGCGTACAAGTAAAAACTGCAACACTGAATGGTCTTGTTTCCGCTAACAAAAAAATCACCCAAATTGGTCAAGATTAAACTTTGAAGCTGGGTGAAATTTAAAGAAGCTCAAACTCCGGCAGTCATCCCCGAACCGACTCAAAAAGAAAAGGAAGGCGCAAGATCCATCACACAAAGCGCGTTGCACTTGAATTGTCTGCTTCAGTAACCCACAGGTAGGGGTAAAATAAAGATTCACTTGTGGATCTGGGTTTTTCAGTTTTAATTTGCTCTCCAGAATGGAAGGTGAGATGTAAAGCTGCATTTAATGTCACTAGTTTTCTCTTGTGGCTTTACAGTTGCTTATGGAAACCCTTGAACAAGACATGGAGAGTACAAAGCCATCTTCACAAGCTATATAAAAAAAAGGAATACGTAACATTGCTACCTTCAGCCATTTTATTTTTAATAGACTTTTTAAAATTCGCTCTAGTATCTAGCCACTAAAAGCAAAGTTAAATTTGAAGCCGTTTCTCTACCATTTCTTTGCAAGTCCGGAAGAACTGGTTGTTGATTTTATAACAGAAAAAAAGTGACTTTCAACTTACCTCTTGCAAAGGTAAGTAACAGGTGCAGTGCAGCATTTTAACCTTGAAGCCATTTACAAACATCAATTCCAAATAATCTGTGAGGAAGCTGAGAGTGTTACTGTTTCCTCTTCAGAAATCTAATCGGTACGGAACGTGATCCGTTATCCTTGGTGTGGAACTTCTGTATGTTCTGTTTTACTGCAGATTTCGCCTTGTTCTGCCGACGTGCCATCGCAGTGTGTGTCGAGTCGCTTGGTTTTATGCTGGTAGCAGCTCGGAGGTGGTTCCCAGACACTTACCTGACAGAGCGCTGAGCTCAGGCAAACGTCGTGCCAGTGCACAGCACACTTAAAAATCCAACTAGTTTAACATAAGCCAGGCTGTGTTAGACCCACCTCTTCGCTATATGCTGCTCACCAGATCTGTCCCAGTTTATTTTTTCCTAGTCTAAACACCAGAGGGCAGAAAGTTTGTTTTTTATAATCCACAAAGAAGTTTCCGTATGATATAATTTTCAGTGTTTGTCTTCTGGTAAGAATTGTTCATAGTCTCAAGACTTAGCTTGGAATGTATTTCACTTAGCTTGGAATGTATTTCTACATTTGTGATCAATTTTAAACGGAATTAAACTTGCCTTTTTCAGCCATTGTAAAAAATCGTTCCTTGAATCTGCTAATTAATTTGCTAAGCCACTTAGCAGAGAACGTAACACAACCCAATTCTTAAAGCTCAAGATGACATAATTTGTTTGGTGCTTTAAAGGGTTTGTATTCTTTCAAGCATTGAGTAAACTCAAGAAGCAATAAATTTCTCCCTCCTGTCTTTTTAAATATTTTTGAATTGAACTTTGTATGATCACTGTCCATTTTCTAAAAACTATTGTTTGTGATCCAAGTTTTAATCAATTCCCCATCTCTGAAGCATATTTAGACTCCTACAAGCTTTATTTTCTTGTACTTTTGCTTGTACCTGACGTGCTTTCTTGCAAGCTTTTAATGTCCGAGACTAAATACTTTTCCAATTTTAACTGGCTAATTAAGTAGATGTTCCTTGAATTACATGGGGAAAGCTGTTCTCAGTTAAACAACTCTACAGTTAGTTTAGATGTACACCGACACAAACAAAATCAGTATCTGAACTTGGGATTAGGCTTGCAATTCTCATTTAACAGAAACCCCCCCTGAGCCAAGATTGTCTTAATGTTCTATTTTTAACATTGATTGCATTAGACCTGTTTTAAATTTGGTGATTTTGCTTCAGTTCCAGTTCTTGTAAGAAAACCTGTTTCCTATACTGGGACTTTGTCATATTAACAATAGATAGCGTGTAGGAAAGGAAGTCCAAGATTAGGAATAACCTGGCAAAACTCCCCGAGTAAAGCCCTGCTGTTTCTGACTTATCTAAAGACAAGGAAGGAAATCTTCTGTCACTCTGTGCTTGGTTTTGCGGTCAGGGTCAGGTATAATCCAGCACGATCACTTTTTTTTAAAACACTCATGCTGTTTATTTTATTTCAAGACAAGTATAAATTGTGGTGGTTTGATTACTGCAGTTGTATCTTGAAATTTGAAATTTCATTCACGCATCAGAGTATTCGTATCAGTAGAAAACACCATTATTTCATTTAGGGTTCTGAGTTTTGGGTTATTTTTAATGTGGCAGGTTTTAAATGTTACTGGTGGTTCTACTGAAGACGCTTTTACATGCGTAGAAGTGCAGGTTTTACCATGGCTGTGTAACAGTATTTTGGAATACACTGGAGAAATTAACCACGATCGTCAGCTTTAGGACTTGCTTGTTCTAGATTCTTTATCACAACTTCCTCTAAATATGTAAGGACAGACAATCCTTTGGTCCATGTGTCAAATTAATGAAGTTTGTCAGAGGAACACCACTCTAAACAGATGCATCCCAATTGTCCCAAAATGGAGATAATATACAGGCTAAGAGAGAAGCCACAGCGACCAAATCTGCTGCAAAACACATTAAACACGTTTTCCCCCATCATTAAATATGTAAGAACCTTCTACTCATCTTACTCCCTTCCTTTCCGTATCTATTGGGCTGTCAAAGTGTTATTTTTTTTAAGTAAATAGATTAAAACTGATTTTCATTTGACGGAGTCTGTTTTACTCCGCAGTGTGCTCGCGTGCACGTGAGCACTCAAAGTCGTGTTCCTAATTCTCCCAGCAGAAAATGAAAATCTCACAGCTGTGGAAGTCAGGAAGCATCTGCCAGGCCCTGCAAGCATTCTGGGTCCATAGGGCTACCATGAGGTAACAGAACAACTCCTGCCCCGTCATGTTTGTCTTTAGCAGAAGCCCCAACGTTAGGGAAATCCCTCCGCTGGTGCTTATGCTGTTACTGAGACCGAGCCTGTTGCAAACACTTTTGTTCTGAATCTCACTAATTGGTTAATAGTTTGACACGAGTGGCCTTTAAAGTTACCATCCTTTATGCTTTTCTATATCCACACGTTATCTAATTTCAGGACTAGGA